GGAAAGTAGTCACGGCCACAGCCAACCTTTCATTGCAAATGCGGGGTATACACAAACGAGAAGATAGCTGTCTCGCATGCAACGCCTTTACCGTGCACAGACAAAATATTGCATCAACACATTCTACACTTTCATGTGACAGTTTATGATTTGACTGGAATATCTTGCAAACTGGGAAGTAGTTGGCACATCTTGTTTTGCAACCAGGACTGACCGAGACCGATCCCTGCTGTAAGATGACTCCTATATACCACACTGATATACCCACTCAATACTTTCGTGGTCGGGTATTAATAATGGAAATTTGTCATTATTAACCTTTTATCAAGTAGTGCAGCACGAGAATGTGACAATCTTCTGACGCAGCGCATATCTCTCTTGTGCGCTATCATTCCCAGAGGTAGACTTCACACCATTGATCCCTTCACCACTGGACTTCACTTATGCCTCTAGTACCTTTCTCCATCTTGTGCCTGGGTCGCTTACTGCTAGAAAGGGGAGTCAACTTGAAATAATTCAGGTGTAGGGATCAACACCTACACCTTACTTTAGCTTAACACTCAGCAATGCCCTCTTCTCTGACTACGCGTATGAGTCTATTCGCATTGAGCGTTACTAACTATCTATATATATATATTCAATCATCGCACCAACTTATCACTACTCCAGCCCTATAAACGGATCCATTCCTCTCCACCAGCGCAGCATCCCTTAATCGCAACGTACACTAGTGGAGCAATTTGCCCATTTAACAGTCATCCCCCCCACAGACACATTCAACCCGCAACCCCACTAACTACCAATCGCATCTCACATTATCACTACCCCCCCCACCCCAACACAAACTCATCACTACAGACCACACATCACAATCCAGAAATGCAACCACACCTATTCCCAGACGACACACGCGCGTCGCAAACCAACACTACATATCCAGCTAGCAATCCACTGACCCCTCAGCAGACAACTATAGCCACACCTATACACTACGAGACAAAACCAACAACCAAACCAATCAACGAACAAACCCACATGACAATACAAGAAACCTCACATCTCATGTCCTATCGCCACACACCAACTTTACACTAGAGCATATGTTATTTCCCTATCCCAACACAACTTAACCACTACATAACGAATTCATTCTATCCCACACAACTTATCCGCTATCCCCCCCCCACACACACCACACACACCCACCACCCGCCCCTGCACCACCACCCCGATATGATTCCTGTCCTATCCCACACCTCTTACCACTAGGCATGATGATTCCTCTCCACACACCTATCCCAGACACCCACCAACTTTACCAAATAGCGATATGTTCCTTCGCTATCCAGCACGCAAGCTACACTAGTATAACGTAAATTCATTCCTATCGCACACCAACTTACCACTAGTAAATGGATTGCATTCCCTATCCCCCCCACACCAAACTGCCACTAGCATATGAATTCCCTTCCTACCTCGCCAGCACCCAACTACGCACGCAAGCACTATGATTCCTTATCCCACCCCACACCAACCTTACTCACTAGCATATGAGTTCTTCGCTATCCCACGGCACTCAAACAGCTTACCACCTCTAGCCATATACCTTCCTTCCTATCCCACACCGCCAACTTACCACTAGTATATGATCATCTGTCACTATGCCCATCACAACTTACACTAGTATATGATTCATTCCTATCCCACACTCAACTTGCCACTAGCTATGAGTTCCTTCCTACTCCCAACACCAACTTACCACTAATGCATATGATTGCGCCTATCCTATCCACACCAACCTTACCAGCTAGCATATGATTCCTTCCTATTCCCACACCAACTTACCACTAGCATACGATTCCAATTCGCATCCCACACGCAACGTTACCAGCGCATACGATTCTATCTACCACACCAACTTACCACTAAGCAATATGATTCATTCCGTATCCACAAGCACAATTGACCACCTAGGCGCATAAGTGATCAGCTCTCCTGATCCCACACCAAACTTACGCACTAGGCATAGTCGATTCAATTCCTATCCCAACACCAACGGTACCACTAGCAAATACACTCCATTCCCTACGCCACATCCAAACTGACCGACTAGCATATGTGTCATTCCTATCCACACCAACTTACCGCTAGCATAGTTACTGATTCGCTTCCTATCCCAACACCAACTTTACCGGCTAGCATATTATGTGATTCATTCCTATCCCGACACCAACTTGCCACTAGCATATATTATTCTTCCATGATGCCCACACCAACTTACCACTAAGCTATCAGTGACCCTGTTCCTATCCCCCCCGCACACCAACTTACCACTAGGCAATATTGATTCTTCCTATCCCATCACGCAACGTTACCCACCACGCGTCCATCAGGAACCCGACCTCCTCCAATTCCTATCCCACACCAACTTACCGCTAGATCGATTTCATTTACCTATCCTCACACCAACCTTACCCGCTAGCATAACCGATTCCATTCTATAACCCACACCAAGACTTACCGCTAGCATACCGATTTCATTGCCTATCCGCACACCAACTTACCACTAGCAATATGATTCCTTTTCCTATCCCACACCCAACTTACCACTAGCAATAAATAATTACTGATCTCATTCCTATCCCACATTTACTCATCCAGAGTCGATAAAAATACATTTCTACCCAACAGCTACTCACCACTAGCATAGGTTGTCTGCGCTCGGGCTTATGAACTCCATGTATGACCAGCAAGCCCTGTCCGAAGATGCCCATAAAAGACGCTATGTTTTGAGCAGGTAACGGTGAGGCGCTGTAAGTCGGGTGTATGCGGCGATAGTTGAAGCCTCCACCTGAGCGTCTGCACGCCGGCCCCCGTTGCCCGCGGCAATGCGTGTCGGTCTGCAGCACGTTTGTAACCCACATGTCGGACGCTTGTTCGCAGGTGCATCTGCAAACAGTATGGGTCAGGCAGAGCTAAAATGCTATGTGAAGGAGAGGGTAAGGCATGAGAATAGAAAAATGAAAGTTCAATGACACTGTAGCCCAGCCCACAAAAAGAAGACACAAATGAGGAGAGTAATAGAAGTCATTTTTAATTTGAGAAAGCCATTTCAACCGTAATTATACGAAACGATTGCCCAGTCTGTATATCGCAATAATAATTTATAAGCGCAAACGTGAATCACAGTTTGTAAGTAGATGCGTATACGCCGCTTTGTGCGATGCGTTTGAAATAAATAGTGTATCTGCGTTCGGACATGTTTTGTAAAACTTATCATTGATAAGACGTATTTATCGGCAAGGCGGTGGAGAGGAAATACCATTTTGCATTTAAAGATATTGTCAATGAAATCTGTAAAACAAACCAAGACGAGCTGTGACCCCACGACTGTTTGTGTCGTATAGTAAATGCTATATAATGGCCATTACCGTATCTAAAATTGATAATTATTTTTTTAAATATCCCAAAACCGCACTAGCCCTATTCATTCAACATATCCCCAAAAATGAGCAAAATTGCGTGTAACCTGTACTGATAATGGCCAAGTTCCGCATTTGCCAAAAATTGTGTTGGCTCGAACAGACGTCGACCTGGCGTGCCTTCAAAAATAGGACGTTTAATATGGTAAGCATAGCAGTAACAACTATACACCCAAATTTCCAAACACATGTGGGCTAAAGCCGCTAAACCGGTTTCTGGTTAATCGTTGACCGTAGAGGAAATGTTGACGACCGGACGCGAGACGACGGACGACGACCATGGCAATAGCCGCAGCTTGACGATGTCAAGGTGAGCTAATAAAAAAATCCCCTGACCCCCCATGAAACAGACTGATTATGAAATCAATTCTTTAGAATTTATTGGCTGGAGCTCCCTTATTATATTATATCAGATACCCCTACATTTTAAGGATTATATCAATTTCATAAAACGTTAAAAAAAAACTATAGTGAACAAAATATACGAAACAACGAGCGCGCAGAGCGCTGGCGCTCATCTGAGGTCTGTTGCTACGATTATAACCGTTAAAATTTCAGTCGGTGCGTGTACGTACCATATTTGTTAGGCGGCAGATATGCAGACACGGCAGTTGCGTACACATCCATTGTTAAGGACACGCCCACTATCGCAGATGGGGGTGGGGAAGGGTCGGGGGGGAGGGGTGGAAGGGCAGGGAGGGTGGGCGGAGGAGAAGGGGGGGGTGGGGGCAGGAGGCTCTAATTAGCCAAAAGCAGTTCACTCCATTGGTTAACAGGTCAACAAATCCATGTTTAACCCTCCTCTTTCGAGGGTCAAGCGTTATCAGACACTTACTCTTCGACCGTCAGTGGAAACGACTAGTTTTCTGAGTCCTTTCAATGAAAGCCATAAAATGATAGTCAACCTGAAACAAAAAAGTTTTTCAATCGCTCGCGTCAGACGCAATGTCCTCAAGAAAATGTCCTAAAACTGGCCGTGCCCATTGATCCTTGACCTGGAGCCTCAATTGGCACAGTGATGGCTTGTTCGCTACCCAATGATGCTATACACGCCTATCGACGAGCCTAGGTCGAGCCGTTAGATTTGTGCCGGCAATTCACGCATTTCCTCGCTATACCTTAAGTCTCAAGGAGACTGAATGTTCGGCCCCTTCTTTTACACCGACTTGTAACCCTTTGACCTTCTGACCTTGACCTCCGCAGCTTCGACATCCCAACTCGTTTTCGGATTACCCCCCCACGTCCCGAATATCGTGACCGTACGTCGAGCGGTTAAGATTTGTGCCCAACTGTTGACGCACGGACGGACACACGGACGATCATGCGATTCTACAAGCTGCATCTGACTATGTCAGATGAGCTAAAAAGCATGTTTAAAAATGCCTATGTAACAGTCAAGAAAAAAAAAACAAACAAAGATCCTAGGTTTTGGGGTGGAAACACCAATCGTGTCTACCGCCTACACCGACATTCCCGCGGTTTATAATTCCGGCGGCGGCCACATGAAGAATCGACTACCTCTGTAGCGTGTGTCCGACACGAGAATCTCTGTGGACACGAGATCAATGTCCTTTGAGTTGTCCGAGTAGCTCTCATAAGACAGCTTCGACTTGATGAAGTCCAGCTGGGCGAGCGCAGCCCTAGGAAGCTCCGACGGTTCAGTGTGCTGCATCACTAACGCCACGGTTACGTTCACAAGCTCCATGTGTAACGACGTCTTCGTCCACACCTCTCCACTCAGCACCGTCTACGAGAGAAAAGCAAACAATCTACGTACACCCTAACTTCTCATACTGGGGCCGTGTGCAGGCGACAAACTCACTTTAAAATATTGGCTAGCTAAATTTGGTAAATTGAATTAAACTGTATCAGTAATAATACTCACAATAAATATAACTATGAATATATGTGCATATTTCATACGTACAGTATACATGTATATGTTTATAGAACATGACATAAATAATAATTAGTAATATAAATAGATTATATTAAAATATGGTTAGTCCTACTCCATGCTAGCAATGCAGAGAATCGATGACACAGCTAGGGCCTTCGTCAGTTACGCTCACCTGTATCTGTGGTTCTTGGATCTTCAGGGTGTTCAGCTGGTGTTCAAAATCCTCAAGTGGTTCTCCTAGGTTGTGGTCCAGGACACCACGTAGCAGCTTGTACTGAGCCAGGTCAATCGTACAGCAGACAGACGATAGCTGCCCAACTACCTTCATCCCTGGAGCTGCACAAACACACACACATCACGTTAGCAGGGTTGATATGTAGGAGACTAAACAGATATTGCGAAATAATTATCCACACGTATGAATCCGTAAGATCAGAACAGAATCATTGATTATAATGTTCAATCTCAAGTTGGCATGAATAAAATGTGTAGTCGGCAAATGATCAGTGATGAGTGCTCAGTAACCATAAAGTAAGGAGAGGATTCATCTTGCGACTAACACAAGCATCGACTATGCATGCTAACCTGCATGGCTAATATCAGCATCCAGGTTCCTCTCTACCTGTAGTCTCAGTGCACACGTCCTCTCCAATAGGGGTCCACCCTTTCTGCGCACCACGTGCGTGCTAAAGCTTAGGTCGCCTGCAAACAAACATTAATGATACTAGAGGGCGCATTAATGCATGACCTGTGCCTATGCCTTTCTTCATGCTCGTTTCCCAACGCCAGAGGCCTCTTCGCTCGACCAACTCTACTCTAGTTCACACCTACTTCACAATGCACCACAAATAATGGCTCTGCCTCAACGCATTTCTTCAATCCAGTTCAGACAGTTTGAATGACAGAATGACAGTTTCAGATCATCCAGTTCAGACCGAGGATGGGTACTTTACCTGCTTGGCGCTTGCCCGCCTCGTGTCTGCTCATGCGAACGGCAGAGTACAGGTCCATGTCAGTAAGCTCTACCTGCAGCACATCCAGCAGACAGACGTGTTCTTGTACCGAGCAATGAAGCCCTGCACGTAAACAATAGCATGTATACGAATGGATGAACGACAGCCTGTTATAATATATTTATGATTGAATATGTTGAACATATTTATGCTCTACTATCCTATGCTATTCACATTACATATGGTATAAATGTGTTCATAGTTCATATCCTTTTAATTATGTTCGTATATGTACACGCACGCGCGTACGCATGTACGCACGCACGCACGCACGCACGCACGCACGCTGACACGCACGAACGCTGCATGCAAACATATAACCACATACACACGCATGCACACATGCATACATATATAGTAGGTACCACGTTAGCTTTGAGGGTAAAACGTACCGTGAGTATCGTGCGACTTTCCAGACTTTGCTCTAGTTGCTGCATTTACTCCACCCTGTTTTCTTGCTTCATTTTCTGGGGGTTTTCTGGCCGGAAAGGACAGAGAGCTGAGAAGCTGTGATGATCCACTCAGCCTGTGTCAACAGTGTTAGTTTTATGTCAACATCACTAAGTGCATAGGAATAAAGTGGAAAAACATGCACATATAACACTCACATATTAGCATATCAAACACCACCTATTAGGGACATACTTTAAAACATTTTTTTGCATGGCATGCACCATTAGCTAAGCCTCTAACCACCAATTACTTATCCTACCTACCTATCATCTCCCATTTTTCTATGAAACGGTGCGAAACATAAATGACAGCCACAAGCAAAGGTCTAAGAGTAAACCTGTCAAAAAATCGCTGCCAATTGTATTCGAATATATGGATAATTCTTGCTCAGCCGTGCAATTTCTCACCGGGGAGGTTGCTGCGGCAGCATCCAGTAGGAAGAATCTGAGAAGCCACTCGTCGGTGGCGTCGCTCTGGGAAACGCCTCGCTGAAGTCGATGAGGTCAAAGGTTGCAAGGTTTGCATCAAGCGTCAGCGGCTCTGCTTGCCTGCAGCGCACAAACTGTCAGTGCTAATGTCTGCTGCAAACAGGCTCTACAGTCACGTTCACGATGACATATTACATAGTCTCACTTATATATAAACACACGACGGATAACCTGCTCCCTGATCAAGAATGAGAAGGCTAAAGGATATGATAAAACAGTAGAACAGCCATGCACTGAAGTAATTATACAAAATTGCTGTTTAGTTATGATAAACAAAAGAACACATCAATGCAACACACGAGAAAGTGAAGATGTCTAAAAGAGGCTGCTAGCCATTAGTATACCAAGCTTATTATAATCACAGCTACTTGGAAACATAAGATAATAGAGTATGATTTAAATGTGCTGCGAAAGTGCTTAATGATGTGGTGTTAATTCCAGCAAAAGATTAGCATTAGCATAGCCCAATAGCAGAAACGTCTTAGAGTGCAACATAAAATATTGCAAAAATTCAGATAGATATGTAGATATGTGCATACACATATAAACATCAGGCTACTGATAACCAACCGTATACCAACACAGACGAAGACTGACTGATTGGGCAAGGGCAGCTGTTATTCAGATGATGCACCGATATACAAACACCATGAGACAAACGTTAGCCTGGCGACATCGATGCCAACACATTAGCCACCATGACATGAAACGTCACACACCCGTTGCTCTACCTTTCGTCTACGTCCAGGCTGCCATAGATGCTCTGTGTCATGGAGTCAGCTATGTCTACAACTGTCCCGCTTCCGGCTAGCATCACATTATACCTGGAAGCGGCATCTGTTGAGCTGAACGACCCAGCATCTGCCCCAGTGTCTGCCCCAGTGTCTGCCCTAGCATCAGCCCCGGTATAGCTGGCTAGACTCGGGGTACTGGCACTGTTGGCTTCAGAGCAGAAGGAGTAGCCGAGTGCACTGGCAACCACGTCAATGTCGCAAGACTGCTGTGACTCGGTCGAGCTGTTGTGTGTAGAGGTCACAATAAACATCAATGCAGAGCAAACATTTCATTTCACAGAGGTGAAAGTCTAGGTCTTTGAGATTCTATTCTAACTCTCTTCTAACTCTATTATATTCCCACTCACAGTCATAGAGATTTTCCTAGCTCTAACTGCATAACCTAACTTGTAACTATATTTTAACACTCGGAGCATGAGCAAAGCAAGGCTGGGAAAAAACATTTTTAGTATTATCACAGAAGGGTGAAATCAGCATCATAGTTGTCAGCGGGAATAGCAGTCGACAATTCAGGTGAATAGGATCAGCAACAGAAACAGGGGATCCAAAAACCAAAATCAATGCACACGTGTAACACAGCATCAGACATACTAGAATCCGATGATCTTACCTCGCAAAGGGATCATCCTGTGCAGTCTGACAGGCTCCAGAACCAGATGGAGCATCAGCCGAGACCTTCTGTAATGACCGAAGAGTGAAACCGTTACCACCACACACATGTCAAACAGGCTTTAATAAAGATTGTTACAAAGATTAATAATAAAACTTCTATGTAACAGACAGCAACCCAAACACTCACCAAGCCTGCTATGGTTACGTGTGCTTCCACCTTAAACACTCACCAAGCCTGCTATGGTTCCTGGTGCTCCCACTTTAAGGAATGTGTTGCTAACAGTCAAGGTACCCAGGTCAGCTACGAGAATGTCTGTAGATCGTGCACTGTGGGGAATGAGGATGACTGGTGACCCCGCCTGGATGTCCAACAGTATGCGCACGCTAGTTGTCGGCTGGTCACTCACCTAAACAGGTAACACATGAGCAGTGTATACTATATGGTGTATGATATACGATGGCATGTCACATGTATGTCAGGACATGTAACGATACAAGGTGGTGTGGATCGGTATATCTGATTGCATATTATGCACAAAGTCACACTGTACCATAATGCACGAAGCACAGATTCGCTAGGCCAGTTACCAACCTCTGCATAGCCATATTCAGACATCACTTCCCTGGACTATATATTTGCGCCAACATAAAACAAGAGCCGCAGAGCGTCTGGGCTCATCTGAGGTCTGTTGCTACGGTTATAAACGTAACATTTAAGTCGTGCGTAGTGACACCTTTGTTAGGCGCAGATATGCAGATACGCAGTTGCTATTTGCCCTAAAATGAATATCGTTCGGTTAAATAGCATTTAGGTATAAATATAATTGCACTTTTGTGATTAGCCCTCGGTCTGTAACGTGCAAAATAAATTGTCAAATACGCAACTTTTTCGGGGTGGCAGCACGGTCGCGGGTGTCATGGCGCCATTCAAATTTCATAGCGTTGGTGTGTAATAAATTTATAACAATTAAATTAGGTATCTGGTAACAAATACGTGGGGGTATAGACGATTTGTTATACAGTAAGTAGAGTTGTATGCAGTAAAATCCTAGAGGCTACTGTCCCTTTAAGGGGGAAATATTCCCCCCATTGACACATCTTGACCTTTGACCCTTGACCCCCAAATTCGACATCCCGAGTCCTTTCGCGGTCTCCATGCCCCCCCCCCCCGACGTCCCGAATAATATACCATGAGACAGCTTGTCCACCCTTAATATCAAGATCATACGTCGCGCGGTTAAGATTTGTGCCGTAACTGTTGAAGCACGGACGGACAGACGGACGGACAGACATTCATGTGATTCTCCAAGCTGCATCTGACTTCGTCAGCTGAGCTAAAAATCTACATATGTTATCTCATGATCAATCAAAATTGCAATCTAAACCTAAAATCGTACATACCAAGCACATGCCGAGGCTAGCAGAACGAAAAAGCACCACCGACTAACCAACGGTCACTGTACCTTTTACTGGAGGTAGCCGTCTGTGTGTAGAAGCGCAGTAGGCTGCCACTGTTATTGTGCAGTGTGAATGCCATGAATGGCAAGCGTCTGCGCTGCCCAACGCGAAAGAAGCCACTCAGTGGAACCACGCCAGCATCTCCAGCAACCACACATGCACGCAATTCCTCACTGTCTCTGCGAATGAAGTGAAAGTGAGCTTTCTTCGAAGCACCAGTAACAATAAATTTTTCAAATATGGTCCAACGTGAGTTTTTAAGACTAAGCTCTGATCAAGGTATTCAGTAGTAGCATGAACATATGAATACTACTACCTAGTACAACTACTACCGACGGCGACGGCAACAGCAGCGATGACTACTACTACTGCTGCTGCTGCTGCTGCTGCTGCTGCTGCTGCTGCTGCTCAGGGGCGTGTACAGGGGGGGTCCAGGGGGTCCGGTCTGAAACAAAAAAGTTTTTCACTCTGTCCATTAGGCCATGTCCTCAGAAAATGTCTGATATCTGACCTTTCCCCCACTGCCCTTTGACCTGTGACGTCCAATTTCGCACTGGTGATGGGTTTCCTGCCCATCACAGAATATTAAGAGCATAGGTCAATCCGTTAAGATTTGTGCCGCAATTCCGTATTTCCTCCTATACCTTAAGTTAAGGGGAAAATATTCCCCCTCCGTTTACACATCTTGACCTTTGATCCTTGACCCCCAAATTTGTCATCCTGAGTCCTTTTTACAATCCCCCCCCCCCCGACGTCCCGAATATCGTGACCGTACGTCGAGCGGTTAAGATTTGTGCCCAACTGTTGACGGACAGACGCACGCACGCATGGCCGGACGCACGGACGATCATGCGATTCTACAAGCTGCATCTGACTACGTCAGCTGAGCTAAAAACAACAATTTCTAACATGATTTCTAGAAACATATTTACAACATTTTCTCAATAAGATTTTCAGCTGTTGTAGTGAAGAAAACCGCATTTGATTGACATCTATAATCGCCAGTATGTAGCAACCCCAATAGTATCTTACAGTCTGGCCAGCAGATGCCGCCCTCATTCTGCCGAGCACATCCTGTAGCTGTGTAAAGTGTTGACAGAATGCCAGGGTTTCCTGCTGGAAGCGCTGCGTGTGCAGGATGCGGACAGACGACATGCGCAGCTTCACACGCATGTCGTGTTCCCGTAGCAACCCAGGGTCAGGTTCACCGTACCTGAAAAGATGAGAGGAAGGCACATTATGACTGCGATAGCTGTGCAAAAGTACAGCACTCTCCAGTGCTATGTCGACACTTAAAACCTATATTCACGTGGTGGTTTTTATGTTATGGTTTGTTACTTTTTTGGAATTTATTAATAAATGACTTCCCATCATAATAGCATTAAGACAGATGACTTATTTACAATGTGTTGAAGCCAGGATAGGTGTTATTAAGGGCAGTAGGTTTTAAACACTAATAGTTAGCATAGTTTAAATATTGGTTAGATACACACTGCATACACAAAAAGAATTAGGTAGAATACTGTAATGACATTTTATACATTAGAATAAACACTACACTTTGATAATCATGTGCATCTAACACACTACACCTCCACAGATTTAAAAGTCAGGGCTGGGTAATAATGGTGAGAAAGAGAAAAAGAGCCTAAAGCTAAAGTCACACTGGGGCCGGACTGTCCACGGATTACCGCGGATGGGGCAGGATCTCCCCGGACCGTAAAATTTATAATCCGTGGCGATCCGGGT